AATCAGCTGATGAAGCCCATAAACGTCCGTGATGTCTGACAACAATGTAGAATTGTTGCCCGAAACAGAAGCCACGTTGCAATTCACATACCCCAATAATTAAAATTCATTGTTTTCAGAATCACATTTGGCAATAAGATTTTCTAGCGAAGTGAATGCTTCACTGGGAGAATTACGTGGCCTGTACCATGTGAATACAAATTTTCGAGATATTTAAGTCGCTGCGTACAGAATAGTTAATGACCGTTTTGACATAGAAGCAAACGCCCCCGCCGTTTCTATTTCTGTCCCTTTGAATTATGTCGTATCCTGGAATATAGATTACAGGATTTTGAATCGATTCGTGGTGTCTAGTTTCTTTAATTAAATTGAAATCTAAAGAATTGTAGTCAAGCAGAATTCTGAGTTCGTCAATATGTTAGGAAGACTAGCCCCATTTGAAGAAACTATTTTACACCCACGTTTCTTAGGAAATAATAGAGTAGATTCAAGCGAATTTAATGTCGCTCCGTTATCATCAGAATCATGCACGGCATACAGGGAATATCAATGCGACATAGCAAAATTATTAGCAAAGTTATTAAACAATCGGCTATTACCTTTATTGTGAAGTTGAAGGCCACCCCTGTTTATCCCAGTAATTGTGATGTGAACATGACGAATCAGGTTCGAGCCGTTTTGTTTGCAATGTTTGTTTAGGTGTTTGTTAACAGTTTTCACTTCATCGTCCATGCTCCGTCTAGAAACGAGCTCCGAAATGAATAATATCGCGTTACAGTAAGTTGTTCTCAATCTTTTTGGCGAGCTTGACGATGCTTTCGGCAATTTGTAGTGGGTCTGTAGTTTCTCGACAAGTGTTCCGACGTGAATGACGATTTTGATCTACTGATTTTTCAATTGTCGGATGGACATAGTGGCTCCTATCGGTGGTAGTTTCGCCAGAAAAGGATTTCACAATGACTCGTGCACCAACCTTTTTCCCCTTTCCCCTAGCTTAGGACCTTCAATATTCGAAACAAAAACCACGTTGCACTTCACATCCACCAATAAATACAATTCATTGTTTTCAGCATCGACTTTGATAATAAGATTTTCTTGCGAAGTAAATGCTTCATCAGAGTCATTGTAATATTTCTGTCTATTGTTTTCACAGCCAATCCTCTGAGGCCTAGTAAAGAGATGCGTTTCGCCCCTTTTTCCCTAGCTTAGGACCCTGAAGGTTCTTGATAATTGAGTCGACTAGCCAATTATGACTGTAGTGTGTGTATGTTGCGAGTTAGCTTTGTTGTAAACGATGATTGAGATGACTTCTCGCTTAAAATAATTTATGTTGCTCATCGAGAGAAACGTCGTCTGTTTTCGATGACGTTTCGCGATATAGAAGGCTCAAAGGGAGTAAGAGACTACCTTTCTCCTGTTCTAAGACTTCAATCTTTTCTGATATGTTTGACAGAGATTCTTCAGTCTTAATGTTAACTCTTGATCTTGCGAAGGCGGGTTCATACTTGCTCTTAAATTAATTACCGCTTCCCATAAATTCTGTATTTCAGCATTACAGGCACAAAAAGTATAAACGGTAGAATGAGGGAAAGCATCATTTGATTTATCCTCTGCCAATACTTGGAGAGTACTTTCGGATTCTTCAGAGCCCGAAGTGTCCAGCACGCCGCCATCTTGTACTTCTTGTGTCTCGAATGACAAAGATTGAGCAGGTTCGTCGGAAGTTTTTGCAGAACGTGTTCTTGTCATGATTCAAAAGCTATATTAGGAATTAACCAACTCTAGTAAAGAAAATCTTCCAGCTTTTTATGTTATCGAGATTGACGAACTGAGTTGTGTGCGGAGCACTAGCGAACGCGTCTGTCCGAGTCAATAACTCTGTTTACTACATTATTATGTGCATGTCTCACACCTATAGGTGGCCTTATTCCCCAAGGCATCCCTACATAGCCTTAGGTATCTAGGGTCATTGTTATGATCTTTCTGGAGCAATGCAATGATCCTAGGTGTTGCCAACCTGATGATTCACATCCTTGGGTGTTTACTCACAGTCCCAAGAGCTCCAATTACAATAAGGATGATAGATACACTTCTGCAGTTCCAGATCTTTTGCACCACCTCAACTTTTAAGTCCTTATAGTGTTTGATCTACTCTCTTTATTTCTTCTGCGACCCGTGTATCAAAAGGGCAAGCTAAATCGAAAATGAAGCACACCCTTCCCTCCTTTTCCAGTACTAAAAGATCAGGTTGACGAGACTAGATGAAGGTATACTGAATTCTGAAATCTATATACCCGGATACAGGATAGTACGACGCGACAGAAATAGAAACGGCGGGGGAGTTTGCTTCTATATCAAAACCGCCATTAACTATTCTGTATGCACAGATCTAAATATAAACAATCTAGAAAATTTGTGTCTTGAAATCAGAAAACCGAATTCAAAACCGTTTGTTATTGTCACGTAGGAGTCTTATTACAAACAATCATTTACTGAAAACAAAAATGACTCTCGACGTACCTAGCAAACTATAAACGAACTTACATCTCGCAAAAGTAACACCTCCTCGATTAAAGAACTAATTGTAAACGGTGTTTCTATAAACAAAACTACCGACTTGGCAAATGCGTTTAATGAACATTTTTTCACAATTGGCCCGAAACTTGCAAATGAGATCCCGTGGGAAGCTAACGGCGACAAAAGTTGTCTTGAATATCTTAACATCACTGACCAAAGATTCTGTTTTACTTTGACAAAGAGCAGTGAAGTATTTTCACTGGTGAATAAACTTAGCAAATCAAAAGCAAGCGGTCTCGTTAAAATATGTGCAAGACTAATTCGTGAATGTGCTGATTTAATTTGCATTTCTATTTTCAAGATCTTTAATTGTTCTTTGACTACAGACATATTCCCAGATGACTGGAAATGTGCTAAAGTTACTCCTTTATTCAAACAGGGACGTTCGAGTGACATGAACAATTACCGTCCCATTTTTGTTATCTCTGTGGTGGCCAAGGTATTCGAAAGAATATCGTACCATCAAGTGTTCGCTACCTATCAGAACATAGCATTATTTCAAAAAGTCAATCCGGATTTTGCTCTATCCATTCTACGGTCAGTTCTCTACTAGAGGCGACCGATAGCTGGGCTTTTGATATTGATCGCGGAAAAGTTAATGCTGTAGTATTTCTAAATTTATAAAAGGCCTTTGATACATTAGACCACACGATATTACTGTCTAAATTAAGTACCTACGTAATTCAAGAAAATGCTTACAATTGGTTTAAATCATACTCAGAAAACCGAACTCAAATATGTTCTGTTAGTACTTCACTTTCCAAAACCTGCTCTCTCCAATGTATTATCCTTCAAGCGATTGTATTGGGTCCTCTATTGTTTTTGCTATACATAAACGACTTACCAAATTGCTTAACTAACTCTTATCCTAGAATGTGTGCCGATGACACGCATCTTACTTACGATGATAAAGATTTGAATATCATTCAGTCCTATTTGAATGAAGACTTGCTAAATATCAGTAAATGGCTGATCGCTCACAAACTCACACTTCACACGACTAAGACTGAATTTATGTTAATCTACTTGAGACGAAAGCTAAACGCCCTAACTGCCTCTTCCGTTCTGAGCATCAATGGTACTCCATTAAACCAGGTATCAACGTTAAAATCTCTAGGTGTACTCATTGATACTCATTGATGCAAACCTTACCTGGGGCAGTCATATCGAGTCATATCTAGAAGTTGGCTAAAAAAATTGCCTCTGGTATTGCAGCTATCAAACGGGTCAGGCAATTTGTTCTCCCAGCAACATTGCATCCTATCTACAAAGCCTTGATTCAGCCGCATTTCGACCGTTGAATGTTGTTTGGGGAGGCTGTGGCGTAAAACTAGCAGACAAACTTCAAAAACTCCAAAATCGTGCAGCGCGAGCTCTAACTTTCTCAAGTTATGACGCACATGCATCGCAGCTGTTCCAAAATTTAATTAGGAAAAATCTTAGTACTCAGCGTGATATCCAAAAAGCCTTAATGTATTTTAAATCCCTTAATGGCCTTGCTCCTGAATACCTAAGCTCGAAATTTATTGCTCGATCCAAACACTCTTCATACACTTTTCGAGATTCTGTAAATAATTAACTATTCCACAGCCACGCACTAATTATCTCCGTAATGGTTTTCGCTACAGTGGTGCTATTCTGTGGAATAGTCTTCCTAAACCTTTAAGGCAAGCAGTATCCCTAAGTGATTTTAAGTCACTTTTGCACAGCTATTATAATATCAAGTAAGGCACGGCATTCATGGAAAACAGGCTATTTTTTTCGTATATACTTGGCTGGATAATTTTAATATTCCGTTTAGCAAAACCCAGTAAATGTATTTAAGGTTTTTTAAATTTTTGTATTTCGTGCCCGATGAATCTGTACGACCGGGATAAATAAAGATTACTTACTTGCTTACTTACTTACTTACTTACTAGGTCTATTGTGGTCTAAATGGTGATATGTCCTATATTCTCTGCAACTGGTAAGGGTTGATGGTCATACAACTTATCGTTAAACTCTAACCCATACTTTCTGCATAACTCGCAGTGAACTTGTAGTCCCACCTTGTCGTGGCGCCTCCTGTATTTCTTCTGGACAAGCTTCCTGCATCCACTGACAATATGCGATACTGTTTCGGTGGATTCACAGCATAATCTGCACAGTGGTGTCTCAGATGTCTTATCCATGCAAAGCTTGTTCTTAAGCAGCGAAGATCAAGCCCTCCGTTTCCCTCTTTAAAAGGCCATTCTTGAGCCATCTCCAGGACTACTCCTCTCAAGCCAAATCTGAAGTTTGCCGAGCAAACTCTCCATGTAGGGCTTTTTCACTCCAGTTGCCTAGTGTCTCCTCTTTTTCCTCTTTGTAGTCCTGAAGACTCTCTTCTTCAACAAGCACCTTCTCCTTCAAAACCATCTGCAGCATCCACTCCGTGCTATTCCTCAGGTAGCCATGCAAGGATTTGCAATCCTCCTTAACACACTCCTCAACACCAATCAGCCCTCCCCCCCTTCCTTTCCCCACAAATACAGTCTGTCGACATTGTTTCTGGTGTGAAGACAGTCATTCATTGCCAGTATCTTCCTAGTTGTTCTGTCTTCTTCTTCTTCTTCTTCTTCTTCTTCTTCTTCTTCTTCGTCTTCTTCCTATTATTATTATCATTATTATTATTATGTTCGAGTTCCATAGTACATGCAAGTTATTGCTGTGAGAGCCTTAATGAGGTTGCTCTCTACACATCCCAGCGATTCAACAGTGACTGGAATGATTGTTACCCGCTTCTGTCATAACCTTGAGAACTCTATGTTCAAAGCAAGCCTTTGTGCGGTGTGCGCTGTGCATCGTCCTAATTTTCATGATCCTCTATTGTCCAATTCACGATACCTGCTTAGTACCTGACCACTGCAACTGCATACAGATTAATTGTCAATTTTGTTACGGGAATTTAGGTGGGAACTGCGTATTTGGCGGCAGCGGTATACGTATTCCTTTCTGATCTCCTTCTTTATCTCGTTATGCTTGATGATATCTCCCTCTAAAACTCCAAGTTACTTTTATGCGCCATCTTCCCATAGTGACTTGTTGGTTTCACTCGAGGATTCCACTCTCCGACCACGTTTGCTTGATAAAGCCGCGCATTTCTCGATCCCGAAGAGAAAACTCTCACAGTGCGGGTAAGGCTTTCAATATGTGATTTGTTTTCCCTGTCAGTTTTAAGTCGTCCATATGCAGTAAATGGTTTATCTCATTTCCTTCAAGGAGTATGTGCCCTGCTTTTATCTCACTAAGGATCATGCTCAAGGGGGTTAATGTAATAATGAACTGGAGAGACAAGAACGAATATACCACGCTTGATGTCAACACTCCCAAGGTGCTTATTACTACACAAGTGCGTCTACCAGGTCTTCAAGGCCTTATGCAACGAAAAAACACATTGTCGCCAATGTTAAACAGCTGCAAGTATTTCGAGATCCAGCTGTGCGGAACAAAATCATAAGTCTTGTTGTAGTATATCCACACAAGTTCCAAGTTCTTGTGTTTCGCCCTATTGGGGAGTAACAAGAGCTCATAAATCAGTAACTGATGTTTTGTTCCGCGGGTGCTCTTTTTACATCCCTATTGTTCGACTAGGATTCCATTCTGGCTCTCACTATGGGTATACACTTCATCTGCAACTATGTCAGTCGATATCTTCCACACTACATAGACATGTTATTGGTCTGTAGTTCGAAGGGATCAGACCCTTTGCCTTGCTCTTTTGAATAAGGACTGTGCGTCCTTCTGCGAGCCATCCAGGTGGTATGTGGTCTAGGGCATGTTGTAACTGTACTGCTAATCTGGTATGCACATGGGACAACTTCTTCCGCTAATACCCGTGGATCATATCTGGGCCTGGTGATTTCCATCAGGTCTTAGCAGACTTAAGTTTATTAAGTAACTTCTCCTTTGTGACGGTAACTTTCTCTTGTGGGTGTATGCTTGCTGTCTTTTCTTCAACTCCTTTGCACCACTCTGCTTCCTCATTGTGCACCTTCTCGTTTTCCCAAATATCTTTCCAGACAGGCTCAGTACTTTCCCTTGGGAAGCTTTTCGTTTCGCCAGGTTGATCACCCTTTAACTCGTTAATGACAGGTGATTTATCATATTTGAAGGTTGTGTTCTGTCTGTATTGGTCCATACGCTGTTAAAATCATTCAATCTTCTTCGAAGTAGCTGTTATCAGCTGTTTAACCAGTTAAATAACAACGTTTAGATTCTTAACATCCAGACGTATACATGCTCAGAAAATTAGCCACGTAGGGCGCAAAGCGTAGCCTGTGCTGCTTTACAGGAATTTAACACTAAAAAGGTGGCAACGAGTCAAATCTACACTGGTGCAATAAAAATCCTGTGGAATCCTAAAACTAATGCAAACCCTAGGTTTACATAATGAGAAAGTAGGCCTACGCACTCCTATATCTAGATATACGAATTATATAATATTAAAAATAATTTAAAACTAAAGGAAGCCTAATATTGATAAAAATGACATACTAAAGCAAACGTAAAGCATATTCTGTCCGCTATCTATGTTACAACACTTGAAATGCGGGTCTATGGTCTCACTCAGAATTTCCGCGCAATGTTCAGAATATCACATCTAGCTCCTTGGACAACACACCACCCCGCCCCCCCCAAAAAAAAAACAACAACAACAACTTCTATGATGACGTTCAGCTGTACGATCTTGCAGCCTGGGTACTGTTTGGTAAGCTCCCACCCTAGTGGGCGTTAATATGTCTTCTCAGAATCCTTCTTCGCCCGACTGTCTAACCATGGATAGTTTATTTCCACAGCCAATAACCTCATCGCCTTGTGGTCTACAGATCGCGCGTCCACCCTCAGCATTTCACAACTTACTGGGCCAGCGATGAACATCCCACCAAAACGTGAGCAAGGCTTTCTGTTACCGTACCGCGCTCAGCTGATCTTCTTCCCATCTGGTCCACAGAAAACGACGTTGCCACCTCTGGTCTTCCTCCTTCTCCTTAGGCCTCTCTTTCACAACTTTCTTAAGATATTGTCTCTCCTAATTTTGCCTTTGCAAGTACTTTTTTGCTGCAACTGTAAATGCTAACCTCCCTTGCAATCTTCCATCATTATCTTATAAATTATCTACTGCCTTTTCTTCCTTTAGATTTTCCTCTGCAGCCTTTTGCTCTTCGGGGAGTAGCTGCTCCCTCTCTAGACGTTCATACAGGAGGAAGCAGATTGTGCCAGTGAGCTATTTCTACATTAAGCCTATTATATATAAAGCACTTAGATGATCGATCGTTCCCGGTGGTGTTACCCACTGGATTATTTTTCATAATTAAACTGTTCTCCCAGTTGTAATCCAAGATGGCACTTTCCCCCGTTCTATGCACTCCTGAAGTTATTTTGCAATTAGGCTATATAGGCTTGTTAAATTCTCAAGCCAAAACCCTGCACCTGATCAGGGCCAGGGGCCTCCCAATTCGGAGTCCTCTTTAATTGTGTGTTGAACATTGATCTCGATATTACTTTGCCTTAAAATATCCTACAACTCTTCCCTCACATCATCGAACCATGATGTCTTCTGATAGTCTTTTATTGGTTGTTCCCCGATATAACCCCAGAATTCTATAGCTGCATCTCCATCAGGGGCTTCCCTGTTCCTCCTGTGCATTTCCATCCAGCTCCTTATTCAGCTGATGTCTGTTGTTCAAAGTCTGTTCTGCTTATTCTGTGTGACTCTCCTCTAGTACCTTTTCACTTTTCACCTTATTCGCCTTTGAAATTATTCTGTTTCTGGGGAGGGGGGGTGCTGCGGTGTAGCATTAAGAGCCCATCTTCTAGGAGGGTTGCTAGCCAAGGTTATTGAGCCCCACACGCCCAAATGTTGTTACCCTAACGGAGGTGGCTTCGGGTTACGAACACTTGCCAAAGGTGTCACCCCAGACACTGGTGGAAGGGAACTTCCATTTCTCCGCAATAAGCTAAAGTCCAACCTGTGCTAGTCCAGTGCCCATATAATTACTATGTTCTCGTCCTTTTCCTGCTTTCTCAGTGTTGTTTCGAAATCTGCAGCCAACTTAGATGTCATCGGATTCAGTTTCGTGTTTTGTCTGGTGTTAATGTTGTTCATTAGGTCAGCTGTGGATATCATTTTTTCTGATTATCGTTCATCTTGGGGTCTTTTTTATTTGCTTTTAACTGGACTTTGGTTGGTTTTCCTCGGAGTTGACCCAACGTTGCCAAATCCACGCTCTTACCGTTCACCATGTTGTCACACTTGCCCTCCGGGTTGGACTATGTCAATAATCATGATTTGGTCTTTTTTTCCTGTCAATAAGAAGTGTCTTGTCTTCGGTCCTGAAAATCTCGATCAGTTTGAGTACTGAAGTCCCAAAGCAGCTGGACATCCCCGCTCTAAATTATTTTTTCCGCTTTATACTCTCTTAGAACCGGGTCCATTCCACGGTCCTAAGGTGCCAAGGGGGTATTTTACTGGATAGACAGAAATCTTAAAATATCCCCGCAGTTCGCAAAGGGATGACCTTTTGCAGCTCATTGCAGGGGCGCAGCTACCTGTACGCACGGTAGGCAAGTGTGCAGCTGAAAAAGTCGTGCACAAAAAAGATATATGATGAATAAATAATAAATTGTTAATTCTAAAAAGAAAGCAAAATATCTAAAGATAATTATTTTAAGAGCACAGTTTGCCTTAATTCATTCAACTCTGGTTGTTTCTTTGAAATATTTTTTTTTTTCTTACAACAACGGACTTTTTTTTCCCTCTCCACCCAAATGTCGGTTTCCCGAGAAACGAAGTAAATCAATAAGTAATGGACCGAATCGTGGATAACAGACATGTATATCTAGTTAACAGATGGCAGGCGTTTTTACTAAAACCGTGTTCGGGTTCCTAGCCGTTTACGCACATCGATAAATCCTGGGAGCAACGGCGAAGGCGACGGCAACGAACTCAATAAGTAAATGACAAAACAACAAATTTTGCACGTCCAGCGCGCTTTTCTTTACAACCTGTACGAATGCTTCCGTAAAAAAATTCTTTTTGCGACTTTGTTTGGCGACGTAAACATAGGGACAACTTCAATTTCTTCGCTGAGTCCGAACTTGGCTGCGGGCCCCAAGACTTCGTAGGGACGTTCACCCTTATCTTCCATTTTAAGAGAGTTGACGGAAATAAAGGGGGCATTCATTTTGATAGCCAGCTAGGGACGTTTTCACGCGCTGCATTAGCCTGTACACAGACGTTGTTTTATTTTTCTTCTCGTTTTTTTCTGAAAAATCTCTTCCCCCACCCCTACCCCCTTGCGCTTGCGGTCAATATATTCCCCGCGGTTTTATTTTTTTTATCACGCGCGCTCTGCACGCATTGTTATTGCAGTATTTATTAACTCCCAGCAACCACTTTAGGAATTTATTTTGAGCTAATTCTGCTGGATCCTTTTCTAATTGTCCATTGCAATCAATCCCCTACACTTCACTCGCATAAAAGAGTATGGGAGATATCAGTGCATCAAATAACTTCATCGCTAATTTTATATTTTCTCTGAAGTGGTTTCCCATCTCTTTTCGTAATTTATAGCGTGCTTTAAGTGCAACTTTCTTCAGCTCTTGCCGAGCGAAATCAAAGTTTCCAAAAGGACTCATTATGAGTCCAAAATATTTTTAGGATTTGACGTTTCCCATTTAATCAGCGCCGTATCTGATCAAGTATTTGACTTACCACAGTTGTTAAAAATCATAAGATTTGTCTTGTCTAAATTTACACTTAAATCGGCATTTTTACAGAACGATTCTAGCTTATTAAGGATTATTTGAAGGCTTTTTGCTGATCTGAGAGAAGATCTCTAGATCGTCCTCATATAAGAGACAATTTATATATTTATCACTTGGCATAGTGTCGATAGAACTCGCGGTATTTAGGAATTTTGGTACAGCACTTAGATAGAAATTTTAAAAAGTAGGTGACAACATACAACCTTGCTTTACCCCGGCATGACTAGTAAAGGATTCGGTTAATTTGTTATCAATTTTAACTGCCGATTTATCATTTGAGTACATGGATATTAAAACGTCTAGGAAACGTCCTTGGACACCTTCTTTTCTCAGTTTGTTGAATAGGTTTTGTCGGGGTATACAGTCAAAAGCTTTTCTAAAGTCGACGAAACATGAAAAGAGTAAATTTTGGTGCTTCTGTGGCTTAGATTTCAGGTACTTGTCAATAAGCGTTTTTAATGTGAAGTTGCTATCAACTGTCCCGTGCATTTTTCTGAAACCACCTTGTTCAGCTTTCAAGATTCCTTTTTGAACATACTTAACCATGTAGTCGTGCAGTCGATTACAAGTTGAGAATTGATGTAAAGAGCTTGTCTAGCGCAGAAAGCAAAGTGATACCTCGGTTGTTTTCAACTTTGGATAGATCATCCTTTTTGTGAATAGGTACAATGAGGCCGAAACTCCAAAGAGCAGGGTACCGTAAAATTCCGAAAATAAGCCCCGGGGCTTATATTTTTCAAAGGCCCTTTTTGAGGGGCTTATATTCGGAGGGGCTTATCTACGGAGGGAAATTTGCCTTTCAAAATCGATTGGGCTGGCCTTATAGCTGGGAATAAATCTTCCATTTTTGCTTTGTTTTACTATATATTTGAGGGCAATTTTCCAAGTACAAGTCCCCAGGGGGCTTATATTTGGAGGGGCTTATACATGGAGGGGCTTATTTTGAAAATTTTACGGTATTTGCCAGTATCTAAGAATCGATTAAATAAAGTTACTAAATTAACTAAAATTATTAAAATTAACTACTTCATTTAATATATTATCGAAACCTGGAGATTTGTTTGCCTTCAGTTTGTTAATTGCAGCTTCGAACTCTTCATCAGTTATTGGATAATCAAGTGGGACTTCAACTCTTTCGTTACTGTGGGTTTCCATATTCGTCTCCGGATCTAGTATATTATTGAGAGGGGTCGCATTCTGTTGTTTGAAGTATTTATAAAACTGTTCCGTACTCACTGTTTCAGCTCCATGTGTTTTTCTTTTTCCTAAGTTAAATATTTCTCCTATTTGTAGCCAGGTCTCTTTGGAGTTCTGCATATCGATATTAGACAAGCCTTTACTGATACACTCCCGTTTCTTCCGTCTGCAAGTTTTTTTGAACCTCTTCTTTCTGTTGCGCAGGAGTGGTCTCAGTTCTGAATTATTAGTGTTTTTAGAATTTTTCTCCCCAAGGGATTGCATGTTTTCTCTTTCTGTTTCGCATTCCAGATCGAACCATTTGTTTTGTGATTTGCATTTAATTTTGCCGCCTCTCGCTTTCAATCCCGCTTCTTTGCATACTTCTACCAAAGTTTCACTAATTAATTCAGACGCAGTATCGATGCTATCATGTTTTACAGCTGCTTCTAACCTGGAATGAACTGTTTGTGATTTTAGACCATCCTTAAGTCTGTCCTTAGACTTGATATTCCAGAAAAGCCTATTATATCCGGTCAAGATGAGTTCGGCTGATGTTTCAAAAGAATCTCGGTTAACAAAGTTAGCTTTTATCGCGAATGATAGGTGACAGTGTTCCGATAAATGTGGCATTGATGGGTTAACAATAAGATATTGCACATTCCTTAGAATACTTTTTGATCCTATGACGTAATCAACAACACTGCTACCTTTATAATGAAAGCAGATCTTTTTACCTTCCAGGTCACCAACAATCCTTCCATTGAGAATTCGTAAATTTAACGCTGTACATGTTTCTAACAAATTCCTACCCCTAGCGTTCACGGTACCTGAATCGTGTGACCATCTCAAGCATTGTTCGTCATTCTCATTCAGGAAAGCGTTGTTATCATCTAAGACTGTTTCCTGTGATAAACTGGCTTTTTTTAGCACTCTGCTGAACGTAACTTAGTCCACCTCTGATGAAGGTTATTTGTGTGCTACTGGTAAAGAAGGCTTCTCCACTGGTAAACGATGCTTTTTTAGTGGCGTTTACTGATAGGGTCGGCGAGAAGGAGAGGAACTCCACCAATATCAACCAGTTAAACTTACAAGGTTTATTTTACTTACTCGCAAGGCGGTTCTACATTCTTCCTGATGTTCTTCTCTTTCTCTATCTATCTAGTTGAGGAGGGTGTAAGTAAGCAAGTTGATCGCTGGGCTGGGAGATTGGTGGTTGCATTCTTGTAGCAGTGGGACTTGAAGTAGTAGTAGATTATGGATTAGGTTGCGTGTTTGGTGGGATAGATTCAACGATCCAGCGATTTTCCTCGACTAGAGTTAGCTACTGTCCGTAACTACTTAGCCTGCAGTGCAGGCGATTTCTTTGAGCGTGCAATTTGCTCGCGAAAGCGCCATGTTGAAACTTCTCCAAGAGAGGAGGAAATGGGGCGAGTAAAAGGAAGCGGGGAGGGGGTGGGGAGAGAGAAGAGAAAACGCCTGCCCGAAAACACTGTGAAAATGAAAAACACCCCCTAATTAGACGCGCATGACCGCTCTTCCCGAAATGATCATGAGTAGCCGACAATAACAAAACAACCAAACAATCGCTCCAGTCCAAAGACTCGCATTGTCTTAAGAAAAACAAGCTGGAGTTTTACACTGTTTTTATTTTGACTGAGTCAAAATGCAATTATCCACAGCTGATGAAGCTTCAGTTTAAGCTGCAATTCATTCTTTTAAATTCATCTCTGTAGATCGCTATCCGTGAGAGTTTAACATCCTGCAAACAATTTAAAAAACTAACGAGCTGGGCCCAGCGTGATACAACATTGCAGGAAAACATCATATTCTCGGACTAGAAAGAAAATCGCTTAGTTATTCAGATCCTGAGGCTCTTTGGACAAAAATAAAGAACCCAACAGCCATATTTAGGGACAAAAAGAGCTTTACGCTTCAAAAGAGGTCAAAGAAAACGCTCTTGTATCAGAGGGCAAATCATGAAGACCAGAAATTCAAAAACCACAGAAAATCAATAAGCGTGTCATGACCTCTCAGTGTGAAACGAGCGGCTAAAATCAGATTTGCTCAGTCAAAACATAGAACCCCCTAGAGCATAATCTACTCGCCAGAAAAAAAAACGTATTGGAACAAGTAGCATTTTGGCATGAGGTAAAAGAGTTGTAGGTTTTAGTACATCGAGCAAATCTTGTCCTGATGACCAGTGTAGAAATCGCTTTAAATTTCTCATTACGTAATACACGCGACATTCCCAGCCGCTCCAATTCCAAACGGAATAAACAATATAGACTTACAGTTAATTGACAGGCATTAATCTATTTCCCTATGCCACACCAATCAGGAGCTCCGTTTGCCAGCGTACGGAGTTTCCCGAAAGAACAGTGATACCGGGCAGGCGTATTTTTTTTCCTCCCCTCCCCCTCCCCCCTTTCCTTCTTTCGCCCTCGCACCTACCGTTTTTACCGCAAGATAAGCATTATAACTTACGAAGTGATTTTCCTGTTCCAAGATATAATACTGTTAAGTATTGCAAGCACAGTATCAGATATTTAGGCCCACACATAAGGGGCAAGATAAGCCAGGAACTACGCAGTAAGACCAGTCTTCAGGCATTCAGGAGAGGGGTGCGTGCTCTCAATGTGCTTGGCTTGCTGGACGGTACGTGTGGCTGCTGTGCATGCTCATCTTCGAGTGGTGAGTATGCATAGTGGCTTCTGCTATCTGGCTGCCTGGTGTATTGGGAGTGTGCTCCCCTATCCTCTATTTAATTCGTCTAATTTAAATTTTCTAGACTTTTAACTTTCTGAATTTTGTATTTATGTTTGACTGCTGCTTATATGTTTGTCTTATATTGTCTGTTTGTTTGTCTGTCTATCTGTCTATCTGTCTATCTGATTGTCCTTTTTTGTTTTTTGTCTATCTATTTGTTTGTCTTTGTTTGTTCCCCGCTTGTCCTGCTGTTTGTCTGTAATAATTTCATATATTAATGCTATTTTTATATATTGATGATATTTTAAGAATATATTTTTAATATTGTTACGTATACCTGATTTACTCTTATATTATATTCATTTTATTTATTTATAGTGTCCACAATTAGCTTTTAGGTAAATACCTTGACACTTTAATAAAGTTTATGTATGTATGTATGTATGTATGTATGTATGTATGTATGTATGTATGTATGTATGTATGTATGTATGTATGTATGGCACGGACAAGCGGTTAAAATTGCAAGAGAGACTACTAACAATCAATAAAAGAAATATAATTCGTTGAAACATTTACAGAGACAACAATTTTTATTCACGATGACAAATATTAAAGTGTCTGTAAAAATCCTGACTCTTTAAGCTTAAAGCTTAAGCTTAACTTAACTGTGTTTTACTTTAAGCCGACCTCCCGGTGTTTGCTTTTTTCAAAGGTGAACTCCTCGAAGCAAGAAAATCGCTCAAAGTTTTCTCTCTACAGTCAAATTTATAACTAAATATTCCTCGGAACGTTTTCGTTCTATTTGCGGTGAGAAAATATATCTGAAGGCCTTTTAAAGCTCTGAAAGCTTATATCAAACCCGATACTAGATCAGATCATTGACTCAAATCTTACAAACGTGCATAAACTTGCCGCATAAACTGTGTTCGACTTCATGAAATTAGATATAACAAAAACAACATCAAATGCAATAATTACTTGGGCTTACCATTCGAGATTCAGTTCCTGAACGCTATCAAGGAAGGCGACAGTTGCTTGAAACTTTTAAACCCTCTTACACATTAAGCAAGGTGAAAAACGATGCCATCCGAAATCGAATTACCAAATTTTGACAAGCGACGCATTTCTCAACCAAAAACCCAATAAACAAATCAGTCATGAATAACAGAAGACTCTTGATGGCAGCTGTATTTCATTTTGTACATCCAGTCGGAAAAGACAGTTAAAAATATCACAAGTTGACACAAAACTCTGTCAGTTTCAGTTGTCAAAGTAAACAACTTTCAAGATGCTGCATAAATTTTCCGCATGAACTCACCTGTCAGATTTTGACCAATCAGAGCAAAAAAATTGGACGTAGAGCGTAACCACCGAGTGACCATGGTAAGAAAAGGTCTTCCCCGCCTGTATTTTTTTAAAAACTGGCTGAATTTTCGCGTCCGAGGTCAGTTTTGAAATAAAAATCTTAATAGTGCGGGACCATACTGACATAAACACAACATCTTTCATACGAATCATTGGAAAAAATAAACTTGAGCCTGCAATCATTTGAAACTGGTAATTTGTCGGCGGATAACTTCAATAGATACTGGACCTCGATGGATCGACACTTGAGCCCGCAGTACGGTCAGGTGATACTTGTCAGCGGATACCCTGTTTTGAGAGCTGTCAATTGATCACAACATTGATGTGCAATTAGTTTTCTCTTGGGCCTCCAAACTAGCTAGAAAGTGTGAGAGTAAACATTGGTTTCCCTGTGGTGCGGAATGTCGCTCGCTCGCTCGGTGTACGGTCACGTGATTACCAAACTGTCTGGGATGGGTAGATTTACTTATCTATGGGGTTCCGCGTGGAGCTCCGCTATTAAGACCGAATACCTGTGCCCAACCCCATCCACCTCTATTGTACCCTATTCACACCAGGCTCTTCATGCTACGGCTACCAAAATTGCACATCATTCCCAAGATGACGTAATCTGACGAATAATCTTACGGAGTAAAATGACGAAATTTACGTCATTATGACGTCACATTGGTGAATTTGTTGACGGTATCCAAATTTTTCTCAAAAAAGGCTTGAAGCGAAAAATACTTAAATAGTAACGTGTCTGATAAGGTCAAGAAGTTGGCTAACACTCCTTTTTACTGGCAATGATTTCATGATGACGTCTTTTTAACTAAAAAAAGGAATTGGAACTATCCGCTGTCTTAAAGACGCCATTTTGAATTATATAAATGTATTCTATTTTACTTAAAACCCGTATAAATCGACGTATTTTTCATTAAAAACTTCATCTGAGTACAAAAGGATGCTAATTAAGAGAAAAAAATCTGCACAATGTGAAATTCCTAGAGAAATGAACAAATTTGGTCATATTTAACTCATGTTTTATTTTTCTCAAACCAGTCACAGAAAAGTCTGCATTTCATTGACATTTATAGTAACTTTGATAAAGTAATGCTAAATTAAGTGTAACATAATAATTCTCTAAGTGAAAATAGACATAAAACCTATACGTTAGATAAAATAGAAATTAAAAAACATCGCTATCAAAACTCGGTTGCTATGGTAACATCAATATGAGAGGGTGGGCCTCAAAAGCCGCCTTCACCAGTCTGAACGGGGTTTAAATTGTCCTTTTTCTGCTCTGATGATGAAGAAAATCGTCTTAGCTTTAAATAACTAAATAGTTCACAGGGCATGTTCTCTTAAGATCCTTTTATATTCTGAAAGTTCACTAGATCAGAATTAGTTTCCCTAGACGCTCCCCCCATTGAAATAATTTATTCTTGAAAAACGTTTGGGAAAAATCGGTATGATTCTACCGTAAACAATGTTTCTCTTTCTTTAGCTTTCAGAGGGAGACTCAGTGAAGGTGACAGATGTTGGCATATCAAAAGCAGCAAAAGAAATTACTGGCACCATCGCTGGAAGCCCTGTCTACATGGCACCTGAAGTTTTCCACGGAGTGGTGTACGACAAAAAAGCAGACATCTACAGCCTGGGGATAATGTTGTGGGAGATATGGTACGGACAGCAAGCCTTTGCTGAGTCTGGAGCACCAAACATGCAAGCCCTCTTTGCCATGGTTGATGGCGGCAGTCGACCAAAGCCTGTCAAAGGTCTCAACAAACCTCATTTGCGTTGGCAGGAGTTAATGGATCAATGTTGGGATGCAATCCCAGACAAGCGTCCCTCTGCCTGCCAATGCCACGAAAGAATTTCAGATATTGCCTCATTGGAATAAGAATGTCGTTGTAGCGATAGCTAACGATGCATGCCCTATTTTTTTTTCTTTACCAGTAACACATCAATCTTTAGAACATTCAGTTTTACAAAAAGTTTACAGTAAAATGTATGACATGGTTTTCCTCCGCAACTAGTATGGATGCTATTCGAGGAAGGGATAAAATAGCTATTGAAATGAAGGAAAGGTAAACTACACTGACGAGTTTTGCCGTAGAGAAGATTCAATTTACAACTCAATAACCACAATAAAAAAAGGTTAGCAGAGAAAATAACTATGAAAATAGTAATAAATAAGAGAAAAAAAGAGATTTGCTAAAAGTGTTTTACAACAGGTGAACGAATTTAACTAATGAATAACAACAGTGAGTGACATGAGGAAAACTACCTCGGAATAACAACAGATAGAGAGATATTAACAATAAAGGGCTGATTTTAAAGGAGAGATGACTGCATACATGTTTTGAGGTAAGGAAATATTGTGATTGAAGAAAAGATGTTTAAGACGGAAAACTTTGACATAGTCACACTCAGACTACGAGAAGTCTGCAACAAGTTACTTGACTGAAGTAAATTCTTGGCATTTGTCGGAAAATTAAATTGGCTAAGCATTTTTAGTGAGAGAGGGACGTAATACCAAGTAAAAGATTTCAGTAACCGTTGTTTTCCGCCGCCTTGGTTGGCTTAACATAAAAATATTCTTTGAATTAGATCTAGTTCTTTAATTTTAACATCTGGTTGGTACTTATTAAGTAATTATTTGAGTAGTTGAATATCCGTCTGATGCCCCAAATTTCAAGTTTAAGTAATTACTTAATTTATAGCGGAGCTCCTCGCGCGCGCGCGAGCAGAACCCCATACCTAAGAAAATTCGGTAAACTATCTGTCCGAGAAATGTTGGTTGTGACGTCAGCGTACACCGCTCGTACGTACGTTCTTTGGGGGTGTTACTAACTAGACTCTGCAAGGGTGACGGGGAATCCAAGACATGAAGCTTGCGTTTGTCTTGGCGAAATATTATCAAGATGGTGGAAGTTAGAGGCAGCCAATGCAGTTTTTGTAGCGTTATAAAGCTGATTCTTTCTTTCAACAAAACTTTAATGTCTACATTAACGTAGATAACAGAGAAAGAGCCAGTGCGAGAGATAAACAAGAAAGGAGACCAAAAAACATGAAAATTGAGAAATATTAGCGGCCACCAAGTTGAAAATTAGTGGCAGGGAAAAAAAAACTTGAACAGAAACACACACAACATTTCCTCCATAAAACGTGTAACTAGGAAGTTTCTAGAAGTTTCACGTGGTAGTCGTGGAAAACAACGGCCACTGACTTTTTGTTTGGCTGTTTTTGTTGCCGTCGCCGCTTAGCATTACTCGATGTTTATTTTGTTTTGAGTATAAACTACATATATTGAAGAGAGTTCGCTTTTAGCCCTGGCTAAATATATTATTTTCGCAATGCTAAAAGCAATTTCCCATAATCCACATTTGGAAGTATAGTCCTCCCAATGCCGAGTACTGCCTGCTTAAAACGTTCCTGGACAAAAGAGCAAAAATATAGCAGTTCATAAAGAATAACGTACTTAAAATGGTGATTGTGGTATAATCCAAAATTTTTAGTATCCTTTTATAAGTTTATATCAGTGAAAAGGCCGATAGCTTCTTATCCATTCCTTTTCACCAATAATCTCTAATCAGCTTGTTAATTAACTTTCCTCTTTGGCAAATTCTTTTTTATGTTAGCATAAAAGAAACATTGATAGTAGGTAGCATTATGAACGATTAAGCAAGAGCTGTGTTTTTTTAAATCTTTTTTGGTTTGTTTGTGTGTTTTGGTCTGCACAATCAAGGTATATTCTTGACTATATATATCTCAGACCTAACTGGTAATAGAAGTCAGGGCGTAGCTACTTGCACACCACTTGGTACGTACTTACCTGAAGATTAAACATAACAAAACCAAGCGAAAAAGAAAGCAAAGGAACCGAATGTAAGAGACAGCTAAAAGACAGTGAAAACTGCCTATGAAACTTGAACAGCACAATCCTAAGACGAAGATCATCACCGTACTATACTGATAAAAATCGGTCACTTAATCTAATCACGTGCCTGAAAACGATTTGGGAGACGAGGTAAGGTTGATTTTTTACCTCTGGAAAACAATGAGCTACGCCCTGAAAGTTTTTCTGCACTCTGATTGGTATAATTTATTTGTAATGCCGTTTACTTTAGCGGTTTGTGTTTGTTGATATCCCATTGTAATCGGGACTTATAAAATCTGGAAAAAGTGAAAAAAAGCATGACTAGCTGACGAAGCAACCATTGCAAATATCAATCCATTTCATTTAACAGTTTGTAACGTTAATAATAAAGAACAGCAAAAAGTTCAATGTGGTAATGTCTGATATGTATGATGACATTCTGTGATGTTCTTTATTGGTTTATCATTCATGGGCGTTCAATTACACCGTAATTTTTAGGGAGTTATAATTATAACTCCAAAAATGAAGTAAAAATTTTAGGTACAGGATAACCCCTTTTTTGGGGTTACTTTAAGTCTTAAGAGTGTATATCTGTAAGTAGTTTGTTTTTCAAAAGGCTGCTTGGATTTGGAGAAAATCGACAAAACCAATTTTCGTGGTCGGCAACTTGAAAACAACCAAACCTTGAGGCAAAATGAGGCGGTCTCAAAACTACGCTCGCACGCAAAAAGGAAGAGAGCATGGTAAAATATTCCCCAATAAATCAATTTATAAAGGGTTTAGCCCTAGTATGGCAGTTAATTCTTATCTTAACGATAATGTGGAAGGGGAACAATTTTATTTTAGTTTTGATTCTTTTTCAACCGAACGAAGTTCAAGTTTAGGATTAAAGTCGCAATTTAATTTTTAGGCATGTGCTACACCTTGGTTTTTCCTGAAACTCAAGCTATAAGTTATTTAGATATTGTGGGTTATCTCTATCTGGAATGTCATTTTATTACCGCTTAAATTTGTGCTGGCCGCACAAAACTCGATAATTTTTCGTCCAATAATGATTGATATTTCGGGAGCGCAGAAGTAAAGAACCTTGAAAAACGCGTTGGAATTGCGTTGTGTGTGTCGTGATTTTCTGTCCTGATGGTGGATATACAGAGTTTTTACTCGATTCCAACGCGTTCTCAAGATGTTTGTAAAAGAGTCTTAGCTATGTTCCCGGGGGTACTTGGGTAAATTTTATGCTGGGCCGCTACCCCATTATAGTCTATTCTGTGGCCAATTATAGACCCCATCTTAGTCTCTTTTCAGCGAATATGTAATTTTCGCGATCCCAACTTAGTCACTTTCTATTTAAGCATCTACCTTATCAATGTGGTTTCCAGAACGGAATGTAATGCGGTCAACGCGAGTTCATTGTTAAATTTAATAAACAACAAGTTTCTGATTTTCTTTAACCGAGAATCTTCCCACTTTAAATCCCTACTTACCCCAAAAATCCGAAAATTGGGGACCCCATTCTGGTAACTCTGTTGAAAATGCACCCCATTATAGTCACTCCAGTCGTGAAAATGCAACCCCATCCAGCGGCACATTCCCGTTAGCCTCTTGTAAGGGAGTCCCCCTGGCCGGGATTTTCCTCAAGGCCTGGTGCTCCGTTCCTTCTTATCACGAGATAATCTCAAGTGCAATTTGCGCGCGCATTGTGTTCAGCTCTTTTGCAATTCACCATATCCTTGCATTTTTTTTATCGTTTGGTAAGTACTTGAGTTTGCCTTCTGCGTACTTCTTTTCAAGCTTTATAACAACTCTAGCTTTCTTTCTCGGACGCTTATATAGGGGAAAAAAGTCTTGGTAAAACTCGTCCACGAGTTCCCTCATTTCTTCTTCATCTGGACATTGTCTTCCTATGAAAAGAAGAGGAAAAGCTGGCTGAAAAGTACAAAGAGGAAGGTAAAATCTAAGTAGCCTGAGAAAACAGTCGTTTCTCCAGCAAAAGTCAAATGCTTCTTCTAGAAAAAAATAGTTTCCTTCATCTTTTCTAAATACTATACATTCTTCGTGTGCAAATTAACGACAACAACAACTCACCGCATGGCAAGTTTCATCAATTTTTATTTCTATTTTCTAGCAAATTTCCAGACCTAAACTTCGCCCCATATGTTCTCTATATTTACTCATGTTATATGAAACCCGTACGTGACACAAATAGTGAGCCTGAGTTACCTGTGGCGAAACGTCCTCAGAGGCGAAGAGCGAGTAGAAACGGCTGTTTACGCAGGTTAAAATCGAAGAAAACTACCAACAGTTTCATATTTTGTAACACAAAGCACGTTTCGGCAGGATGATTAGCCTGCGTAGCAAGCGTTTCCATGCGGTTTCGGAGCAAAGAACGAGTAACGAGAGGCCATGTTCGCGTGAAAAATGGCGCGAGGAAAAGAGCGGGGACGGGGCGGGGAAGAAAGGTAAGGAAACGCTTGCAGGACAAACCCCGGGAGTTTGAAAACTGTCCACTTGGCCTGTCATGCCTGAGTGTGTGCACCGACACTTGATGCTGTTGTCAGCTGTTATAAATAATGTTTTTATTTCGGAAGAAACGCGTGGACGGCGGGAATGGAGAAATCTCAATGAATCCGAACGATCAATACAGGCTTTGAAAATGCACATTGAATTCGATCTGCAAAGCTGATCGTACTTTGTGAAATTAACTTTGCAGGACATCAACACGACACAAAAAGAAACCAAAAACAGAGCGGGGTTGTAGCCGTAGACAGGACGGAGTGCAATGGTGAAGCTATGAAGCTTTAGCTCAAAACCTCCAGAAAGTTGGATTTGAGATGGTAAAATGTGACAAGCATTCAAGTCTAGGATATTCGATCCGCGACGCGTGTATATATATGTTCAAAGTCAAAGCTCAGCTAGACAGAACGGCTTACTGTTCTTGCCACGGCACAAAGCAGAACAACTAAAGTTGTTCTTGTAAAAGCAACTAACAACAAAGCAAACCTGGTAACTGATGAGGTTCG